GCCGACAGTTCGAAGAGCAGCTCGCAATCGCCGCGAAGACTGCCCCAAAGAGAATCTCTGCTTACGTGAAGCGACGTCTGAAGCCGGCAGGTGACGTGCCAGTACTGGATGGCCCAGACGGACAGCCCCTAACTTCTAGCACTGAGAGTGCGTCCGCGTTGGCAGCGCACTTCGTTTGTATTTGCAAATGACCAGATGTCTGTTCCGAGTTTGACGAACACCGCTTTTACCGAACTCGACAATCTGGATTGCGGCGTTGAAGAGGTAGGTCAACAACTCACTAGCCTTGACTGCACCAAACCTGCCAGACCTGATGGGCTTCACCCACTGATTCTCAAGTCACTCTCGGTCATCATCTCCACTGTCGTGACTGATCTTTTCAATAGGTCGCAGTCCAAATGTTCGTTGCCGATTGACTGGAAATGTTCGGCAGTGAAGTCTATTCCGAAAGGCGGCGACCCTAGCAAAGTAGACAACTATAGGCCAATTTATCTGACAGCTATTTTGGCAAAGGTTACTGAGAAAACGGTATAAAAGAGATTATTGCAGTTACTACAGTCAAAAGAGGTCCTGACGCCCGCGCAGTATGGTTGTATGCAAGGCCACTAAAGCATTACAAACTTGCTTGTGACGAGGCATGAGTGGTTGAAGGAAATAAGCAAGGGGAAGTCTGCCGACGTGATATTCACCTATTTCAGTAAAGCGTACGACAAGGTCAGCCATGAGGTCCTCCTCCACAAACTCAGGACGTGCGGTGTCGGTGGCTTACTGCACCGGTGGATCCGCGACTTTCTTGTTGGAAGGAAAATGGACGGTACAGGTCGACGACCATTTAACTGACTGGTATCCCTCTACAAGTGGCGGGCCTCAAGGTACTGTGCTGGGGTCCACTCTGTTCCTGATCCACATCAACGATCTAACTCAGATTCTCCGGTCGCCGTGTGCCTTGTTTGCGCACGACATGAAAATTTGGAGACAAACTAAGGCTCCCGAGAACTGTGGCGTACTTCAGAAAGACCTCAACCGCCTATCCACATGGTCTGCAGAAGTTCATCTGCCGGTCAACCCAGTAGTTATGAGTTGAGGAAGGGTGCTGACGGCCGAACCTACACCCTTGACGGCCAACCGCTATATTCCACACCCTCCGTGAAAGACCTATGTGTACTCTAGCGCTATCATTTTAAGTCCGTGGACAACACGAACAGGCTAAATAGCAACGGACTGCGCATGCTTTGTGCGCTCAAACGTTGATTCGACACACGGTCTTAAGAGGTTGCCACTCGCCACATCTCTTCCATCATTAGACCAAAGCTATAGTATGGTTGGCCCGTCTACTTTCCGATTACCCGAGGTGAGGCACAAATGATCGAACGTGTCCAACCGGCTGCTACCAAGCTCATCTCGAGTTTACGTGGCTTGGGGCATGAAGACCGGTGCGAAAAACTAGGATTTTACACCTTGTCCTACCGTCGGGTGCGAGTCGACCTCCTTATGACTTACCGTATTCTACATCTCGGTGACTTCCCCATACTGAGGCCGATGCTGCATTTACGAGGACCATGCAGCATATGCGGACACAGAAAAAACTTGTCGTGCCGGACGTGAAGCGAGTTCCCCACCCATTGTGCCTCGAACGGAGAATGGCAAATACTCGGAACAGTTTGCCTGAACATGTGATGGAGACAACATCAGTGAACAGTTCAAAACGTCGTTAGATTTATATGATATCACCATTCGATTCAGAGAACGATGTCACACATACGATGACATTTCATATTTGTGAGTCCTGCAATACCGTGAGTCAGATATTTTAAATGTTACATGACAACGAGAACGATATTCACGGGAGACAACTTTTATGAGGTTTTTCACCACATTTCGAAAAAGTTGTGGAGAATTCATTTCAACTTGCTCTATAATACAGTATCCAGTGTAGTATATGGTTGGAGGCACCCGGTTTCGGATTTGCCTGTCAATGTGGCCAGACACAGAAAGCTATCACCTACAGGCTAGCGCTGCATCACCCACATCTTCAAGCACACACTCCATATCCAGTGTAAACCAGAAGGAATAAGACCGGGAAGCATGTGGATGGGAGCCACGTTTCATCAACGGAGCCGGCTCACACTCCTTCACAGATAAACACAAGCACGCTGTATTTGGGAAATCAAGTGCACACAAGGCGGTGGCTGGACCGTAGTCCGCTCCACACTGAGTGCATGGAACCACTCTTCGAGCCTAGCACGATCACAAGGATCGTGCACCTCGTCGCCTCCAGCAAAGACCAACTGTCGCCTGAGTCAGTATGGATGAGGTAGTGGGTAATAGACACGTAGGCAACTTGTCAACATGCACATCAAGCGCAGCCACACCGGGGATATCAAGCAACAGCCAATCACTTGAAACGACAATATGAAATGAAATAAATCGAATGATGCATACAGATATGCCGACATAGCTCTTCAATAAATGAGCATATGAAATAAATTGGTTGCCAGAAAATCCGCTATAGGTTCAAGACGTCAGAAGAGAGATTTTAAGAAAATGCCACAAACGCGAAAATGTTATCGAAGTTAACTACAATTAACTTGAGCGACGTGTGCAGGTTAACAAAAGAAAGTTCACGTAGACATAACTGAGACAATATAGCAAACCCACCATCTGAAACAGAGACCCAATATGCAAGCACGCGGTTAGTAAATTGAGTACAGTGTACCTACAAACGCTGCGCCGATTCTGCCTACGTTCTCTGCAGGACCGGTCGTCGTTTCCGTGTTGGATCACTAGACCTGCCTGACTCACGCACTCGCGGCCGCATGTGCTACAGCAACATGCGCTCGATGTCGATGGAGTACGATCCATCGGCGCCTGCCGCTTCCGCAATTGATGCTTCTTCTCCGCATGCATGAGATCTTCCTACTGCACCTCGGCAACTGCCTTCATGATCAGATCGCGTCATGCACGCCGGTCAATCGCCTTCCATTCCCATGACCTGCAATGTACACTAGGTTATAGGCTTACTTTGATCATGTCCCGGTAATGAAGCTTCGGTATTCCCACATGCCGCTTCCCAACACTCAGCTAACCATATAATAGATGCTTCAGTATCCACGTCGAATCCATACGTCACACATGACCGAGACACAACAGGTGTTTCAGCAAAAGTATGCAGTCCACTGCATACATTCCACAACGATGCAACACTTCCGTGTCCGCAACTCTGTCACACCAACCGATGCGCAGAACCCGTCGCAAACATAAAAAGACCTATTTCGACCTGACTGCACTCAATTTACAACATTGCTCAACTCGAGCGCTTCGCAACAAAGGTTTTACACTGAATATGCCGAAGGTTAAAATGAATGTCCTCGCTAATTTTTTCCTGGTCCGATATAGCTATCTGTGGAATAAACTACCGATAGCACTCAGGTCATGTGACAATGTATCAAGATCTAAAACCAGACTCGCCAGTTACCTTGATCTCACTATCATAATCTTGATGTTCACATGGAAAAAACCCTCGACGAGCTACTCCAAGAGGGGTCCAATAACATACAAATACTAATGTTTTCAAACCAACGCTTTGGCCTAAACCATCCACCAGAACGTTAATACATGAAATGCATACCCCAATATTCCACCTAGATCACCCATGCAAGAGCATTGACACTTCTATACAAATTCATCTGTGTCGCAACACAGTTGCTCGCATCAAGAGAAATACACTTATTATTATTATTGTCATTGTAATAATAAAAAGACGGTACTCGTACAGCATTTGTACGGCCAACTTAGTGTAGGGAAACGGCACTCGGGCAAGCTGAAAATAACATTACCAGGACATGAACAAAGTGAGTTCATGACGAACTAATGTTGACTTCAGGTGTTGTGAATCTAAGACAAGATTGATCGGTGCGAATTCCGTGGACTGAGCAAGAGTGCGGTTACCAGGTGGACGAAAAGGCACTATTGCACGCGGAAGAGATGCACAATGGGTACGCTCCCATTCGATTTACTAATTCAGGCCAATAAGGCGGTGTATGTGGTACGGTTGCCTGCGTGATGAGTATTCTTGCATTTCAGAAGATAGATGTTGTTTGAGCTCCCCGGTGTGACTGCGCCTGATGTGATGTGAAAGTTGACAAGGTACCTAACTGTCTAATAACCTGCACCTCGATTGCTGGCTGCAGGAGACAGATGGTCGTTGCTGGAGAGGACGGAATGCACCGTCCTCGTGACGGTGCTAGGCTCAAATAGTGGTTCCATCCTGCGTGGAACGGGCTACGGCCTAGCCACCGCCTTGTGTGTGTCTAGTGTGTCTGATTTCCCGATTAGGCAGGAATGATTCTGTTCTGCTTGGTGAAGGATTGTGGGCCGGCTCCGTTGATGAAGCGTGGTTCCCATCTACATGCCTCCCAGTCTTATTCCTTCGGGTTTATATCAGAAATGGGGTGTGTGGGTGGAACTGTGGGTGGTGCAGCGCAAGCCACAAATAGGACCTTTGTAGGCGCAGACGTGCTGCGGCTACCCCGGGGTGGCCAGTGACAGGCAAATACGGATACGGATGCCGGCAATCCATATATATATATATATATATATATATATCGGTAGGAAAGGCAACGGAAGCAAACACAAGGAAGTAGCGGATAGAAAGCACGGCATTAAACGTTAACAGTTCAAACACCATCAGTAATATTTGTCATGCATGTAGATGGTAGCAAAGACGACAAACAGATGATGTCCTCAATCGAGCCGGGAAATTGGCTGAATCCAAATCGTAAAGTGTTCGAGACTATCTGTTCAAACATTGGCACCGTAGCCAACCTCAGAAAAAAAACAATGATAAGATATTCGTCTTGAGACATGACGATTCAAACAAAAGTGGGTGGGATGTAACGACCGAACGCTGCACTGAATGGTGATCACAGCGTAGCAAAAATGAACCATGGAATGCGAAAAATCCAGGCAACACAATTTACCAACTGCATATAGATGCTCACCTGTTCAGCGGCTTTCAAACAATTCATGGCAATGAACGTGCGCAGTAAACTATTAGCAACAACCAGCGCCTCCCCGCGTTGTCGAGGGTCATAAAACAACCAGTCAAGAGAGTTGATGCGCATTCGATCAATCTCGGACAAATTGGAGTGCTGATCGTCCTGCAATAGGGAAGCCAAATGTGCTTTGGCCTTGGCAGTTCGTTGAGGACCAGTGGTGCGGGCCACACTTCCGCTCACCACACTTGCTGGACTGGTAGGCGTGGGGAAAGATAAAAGCAACTGGCGTTCACGCAGCAAGCGAACGACAGCTCGTGTAAGCTGTTGCACATTGAAGCCGGAGGATACAGCCAACGCGAGGCAACGCTCACGTTCATTGGGTTCCACGATGTCTGTGAAGGCAGAGAAGGAGCGGATTTCGGTGCAGATGGAAGTCCATAATGCCAGTGTGAAAACAAAATGAGAAGTCAGCGAATCCGTATCAATAAACAGTGTGCCTATAAACGTTCCTCTGCTTAGTCTAAGAATTAGGACCCGAAAAAGGATGAATTCGGTTGCAAGGTTCGCGTCAACCGAATAGCGATAATGAAAGAAAGATAGGAAAATGGAGTAAAACAAGGAGAAGACGAAGAAAGGTAGTCTGCAAAAAGCAGGTAAATTAACTGGGAAATGGTGATAAGTTGAACGCTGGAACGGAATTGTCTTCACGACCGCGTCGTCGTCACTATTCAGGTAGCACATCCCGAGATCCGCATTAGCGCAGACAGCACGTACCCGCCTGACCAAGTCCCTTGATCGAATTCATCATATGCCACGTCATCTACTGGCAACCTCACAGTTTTGACCAATGGACTACAGTGATAGCACATAATGCATGCCGAGGAAAGAGATCAACAAGCATTCGGAAGTCGTAACGTAAGCGGTTCAAGCTCAATAGAGAATTCAGTGTGTTTTGCAAAACACGAATTGGCGAACTTCACAATACTGGTTATTCGGTGATCCCACCGGATGTGAGAGTGGTCTGAGATAACCGGTGAGCAAAACGACTTATCTGTTAGCACGGAAAGAAGACGAAGGCTGGTAGATGCATGCATTTCGTATTGTCTCCTCAGTACCATTAACAATAACCGATATGCATAGATATAGCTAACAGTGGGTACAACCAGACAAGCTTAAGGTGCAAAACGAATGACGGAAGTTCACACCTACGTCCAAGGCAGCTTTAGGCTGACAAATAATTGTTTCTGAACACACACTGTTAGCTATATCTATGCATATCGGTTATTGTTAATGGTACTGAGGAGACAATCCGAAACGCATGGATCTACCAGCCTTCGTCTTTTTTCCGTGCTTTTCAAATTGTTGAAGGGAACTAACTGCTTTAAATTATCTGTTAGCGCCAATGCGAAGTGATGCTGTTTCCCATCCCTATCGTAACATTACTCCTATCGCAAAGCTGTGCACCTTACTTTGATCGGATGGGTCGAAATCCCATATTCAACATAGATAGTTTACACGATACAGAACAATACAGATGTTGCGGATAAGTGCAGCAACCTGATTAGGGTTGGGATTACGAGGCAATATCAGCATCGAAGTAAATGGTCTAAACGACCAACCGAAATGGCTGTTCGGTGATACCTAGATGCGGTGGAGCATCAACACAGTTTTGCAACGCTAGCTTTACACTGAACGTGTGAAGCACATACCGAACCCCGCAGTGCTACGCGTAAGCCTATTCGCCATCGCATGCATATCCACCAGGACATACCCAAAGAGAGCTTTCACACCAGTCGTAAAATTGAAGAAAATGGAATTATAGGACGACTCTGATGAGTCCCACTTCGGACACAAAGTGATAGCCTCCAATAGAAAATTACCGAGTCTCGAGAGTGGTGGTACAGAATTTGGAATAGAAAGGATATTCATTGCAGTATCACAAGATGGTAGATCGCACGTCAAGGAAAACAAATGCAGTAGCCTGGCTGCATCTGTGTCCTTAATCCAGTAACTATGTGATCAATGCAGTGTGGACCTGCGATAGGAACTGCTGACCCCACATTGATTCACGTTTGACATCTGCTCGAGTTCGATCTCCAAATGTAGATCGATAAAATATTGCGCCACGGTTCTCGAATTGTACGACGGCTGTAAGCTGGCTCCTACAACACAAAGATTAGAAGAAGGACACCTTCAACAAAACCCCTCTCTTGGGATGGGTAACCGGAGAGAATCCTCTGCGCTCTCGACCGATACTGAGGGTCCATCCGCCGGTGAACGAAAAACTCTCTTCGGAAACAAGCAAGCACACAGCGACTACACGGTAAGGGAACGCTTATTATTGTTCAACCATTCGGTCACCTGTCCTCTCTTCGCATGGCGAATACTGACATCATGCTTGTTACTGGTGACATTAATGCTCAAGTGGGTCATCTTTCAGACTACTAACAACACATTGGAGACCGCTTCGGAGTCGATGCCCACTGAACAGACAATGATAATCGATTCTTGCAACTGTGTGCCGTACACAACCTTTACATATGCAGCACTACTTTCCTGCACAAACGTTCACACCACGTCACCTGGCGCCTACTCAATACTCCAATCACCTGGACACAAATTGACCATATTGCCGTCAGGTACAGATGGCTCGCGTCAGTCCATGACTGTCGGTCAATTTGGAGCGTGTGCTTAGATTCCGACCATACCCTAGTGCGCGCACCACTGACACTCACTCTTTCCGCTTCAAAGAAACGCCTTTCTTACAACCTTTTATTCGCAGCTTGAACTCGCAGTCTACAGTTCAGCAATATCATAACGAATTGGTCTATCAATGTCAGTGAGGAATGAGGTTTGTCAGCGGAACGCTGACTGAGACCGTCTTAAATGTGGCATAAAGAATGCGTCGGACGGCTAATGTGCGCCGAACTTAAGACGTCGTAACTGTGAATGGATCTCTGAGGCATCGGTCAGTTTGAGACAGGTTCCAATGAGTATTGAGCTTCAGCGGGCCCGTTACTCCCAAAAACGACGCCTGACAGTAATCCGTCGAATCGACCGGGAACGCAGCTGGATGACAAGAGCCCGTGGGATATAGAAAGCCAGTGCTATTGTGAACTATCGAGTGCTATTCCAGCTCATCCGGTATACGAGTCCGAAAAAGCCATCAGTTAGCGAGACAAAAGTAGAGAAAGATGAACCATTGATCTATTCTGTCTCATCAACTAGCGCGTTGGGTAGAACATTTTGAAAAGCTGTACAGCAGCTTGCAGCATCACTGTCGCTTGCCGAATCGCCTGAGCAGACGTGTGAAGTAGATGTCACACTTTCCTGCTTGTAAGAAATTTGACTTGACCTTGCCGTGTTGAAACAAAACAAAGTTCCTTGACTTAATGACTTTCCTATATCTTTGCTGAAAGATAGTGGTGACAATTTGTTAGCTGGACTGGCTTCCAGTGAAACAGGATTTGGGACACTGAACTAGTGACTTCAGACTAGCGACTATCAACTGTCGTGCCCCTCTTCAAGAAGGATCAGCGTATTTTGTGCGAAAATTACCGAGGCATTAGCCATGATTCCGTTGCCTCCAAACTTCTCACGGGTATCATTCTCCGATGACTTACTGGTCCCCGTGATAACCGCATCAGTGAGGGCCAGTTTGGCTTCCACCCTGGTCGCAGTTACATTGACCACTTATTTACTCTTCGCCGAGTTTTAGAGCAGACACACACAGGTGATCGACAATGGCGGCTTTCCTTGACTTGAAGGCCGCCTTCGACTATACTGACCGCGCCGGCTTGTGGCACTGCTTATTCATGGTGGGCGTATCGGCTGAATTCCTTTGCATTATGCAGTCTCTTTACCGTGACTCCCAATGCAGTGTAAGGGTTTCCAAGGTTGTCTTATATTTCCTTTCCTCTTAACTTTGTGATCAAAATGATCATTAATGAGTCGGTTCTTACAAACACTACCGGAGTGGAAGTTCTGCCAGGTGGCCGACTGATGAACCTTGAGCATGCGGGTGACAGCTCTCCTTGGGTCTAATGCAATGGCTATGCAAGCAATACTGTATAAACTGACGCGTAGCGCTGCACGGTTCGGCATGTACTTTGCACCTCTAAAGTGAAAAGCACTGTTGAGGACAGGACCGACACACATCCGGTTCCAGCTATCACCGAATAACCAATGGAAGTGGTGGATCGGTTCACTTACCTTGGTAGTTGTCACCTCTGGTGGTCACATCACTGAGGAAGTTCCTTCGCGTATCAGCAGGGCCCGTGTGGTTTTCCAGAGGCTCAATCACTATGCAGACGGAGGGAATATCAGCATGTCAGTGAAAAGTAAGGTGTTTAACGTTGGGGTATGGCCGGTGTTACTGTATGGACCAAAAACCTTGGTCCTTCGCGACGATGACATTAAGCGCTTGGCCATGTTAGATTACCGGTGATTGCGGAGTATAGCTCAAGTCTGGTGGGGACACCGAATGAGGAATGCTGAGGTCAACCAGTTGTTTACTGGCAAGAAACCTTCCGCTTCTTCACTCGAGGGTTTGCTGAATCTTCATCGCTTACGTTGGTTAGGCCAAGTCATCTGTATGTCCGTTGACCGCTTTCCTCGGCGTGCATTGTACGCCGTCGCCGCATCAAATTGGGCGAAATTGTGAGATGACCTGTTAATGACGTGGCATAGATGCACAAAAAACTGAATGAGAGAATTCGTCAGGCTGGTGCATGCCGTCTTCGTGGATAGAGACCTCGGGAGGGTTCACACCGATAGCTAGAGACCGTATCAGACATGGTGCGTTCTCGCAGCCAGGAGTTCGAACTTTCGGTTGCTTGCAACAAGTTATATAAAAATTTTCGTTCCATCCTGATTAGTTTAAGGCACATCCTTTTTGCTTCCATTTCTTTACATTCTAACTACATTCAAGCTCACTAACTGGGCGTTATCATTCTTGCGATGTGAGTCATGACAAATGGATCAGCCGCACTTTGATGCTTGGATCATAATTGTTCAAATGAACTGAACTGATTCTTCACTCAGAAAAAAGATAGGGTGCTACGCCTTTAGACAAATCGGCTAATGTGGGAAAGATGATGGGGATTTCGAAAGATCGCAGAAAGTTCTAGGCTGATGGCATGCTCAGAACCCTAACGGAATTGCAACAGCGGATATATGTAAAACTAAAGATGTTACTGGAAGGACATTTTAAAAATGTCGCTAACCCAAAATTCCTGAAACCCATGAGTAAAAAGACGCCGTAGTTATCAAAATTACACACATAGAACGTTTCAGTGAGGCCGATACCATTAATGAGCAAGCACACAACAGCACAAGGTGGCTAGATGCCCAGATAGAGGTTTTGGAATCCTCTAGGCGATCAATGAACAAACAGTATGAAGGACGCATTTAAGCAAGTGAAAATTCCAGACAGTATCAAGCCGCGCGAAACGTTTATGGCCAGTATCGAACACGTCTAGCTAATCATGAATGCGCCAATGGGAGACGGAGCAGAACAAATGTAATAATGTGATTTAAAACAAATTAAAAGTGGGAACCATTTGGTGTGTAGATGAACAGACAGGTTGCATTTTCAATAAGTAATCGGCCATCAGAATGCCCACAAGTTAAGCCGGATATCAACAGTTTACTTGAAGTTGGATTTACCTGCTAAAAATGACGAGTACCAGTCGACTTGCGATGCCGTCGAGGGAAGAGCAGCTGCGTAACTGGCCATTGCTTCTGCACGACGTTCGATCATCAATACTGATAAATAGGCCTTCAAGATTTGAGCGCACGGTTCATCCTATGGTGAAGATAAAACGAAAGAAAATAGAAAATGATAACACTGATATCAAACTAACAGAAAATTAAGGCAAAGTAGACCAAGTGAGGCTTACAGGGATGCAAGGTTCCACAGAGCGGAGAAATAGAACCAAATGCGCCGCAAATCGCAAAACTTGGCTGACGGTTGTGTTTTGGATACCACTTGACCGAATAACTGATGGGGGTTGTAAAATATCGACCTCGTTTACGTTGCAGTGCCCTAAAGCAGCCATTACCAAGCGAGGCATTACGCCAGCCACGGCGAGTAGATAATCTGCAAAGTAGGATGAAGCTGCAAAGTGGAAACCAATTTGGAATACGAGAACAAACTAGCATAGGCGGATAGTCCCGCTGACAGTAAGTATACACAAGGATCAAAAGTCGGTTAGAAGAAAGAGACGCACCACGGTTGTAATGGACATCTATGGAAAGAAAAGATGAGTTCATTCCCAAGACCAGAAAGCTATGAATTCGGTGAAGATGTGGAGCGGTGAATTAATCAGCTGCAGTCAGTTTAGGCTATGTACAACACAGCTATAGCGGCTGAACCCAAGCTTCGCAAAGGTATGAATACCAGTCAAGTAGAAGCAAATACAACAGGGGAAATCCTATAAACAAGAAGACTATAGGAGAGTGATGTAGACAGAGCACAAAAGCAACTGGCATAGAACAAAGAATTGGACTGATCGACAGTCGGCTTTGCGTATTATCGAATTATCCGCGATGAACATTATCGTGGAAATGTGTGAAGAGCTATTATGAAAACTAAAAATCTGCTGTGATTTTTGAGAACTGGTAGGGAAACATGCTAAAACATGCCAAATGTCATGGATTCTGATTACACAAAATGTCGCGCAGTTCATTCTGCACAATTCGAGGCCAGTTGATATTAACCGTTTCGTAGAGTAGAGTAGAATCGAGAAGTGTTAGATTTCGCCTCTCTCTCTCTTATATGATTCCAGTGGAAATGATCTCGTTCCCCAAAAAATCGCAATCCAATCCGAAATCAGAAGTCAACAAATCGGCGACGCAGAAGCTTGTTGCAGGACCGAAGCACATGTAAGTAGTGTGAAAAGTAAGCAAATTCTAGTGCGGCTGGATCACTTGCTACCATCAACAGTTTAGTCGGAATCAGCTGCACAAAGTTACCCTTAGCTGCCGCACGATCATCAACAGCGGCGCGCGGGCTAAAAAGATTGCGTAGATTCGCACTAGTGAACTTGGGATTACACGCTCAAGACCAAGCGACCACCGGCTGACCGCAGTGGCGTTACGCTCCGGCCAATGAGTAGGTGCCTGAAAGTGTCACGTGGTGGGCATGAATGTTTAGGTGGTAACGCATTGCTTCTACTGTATTATATTGGCCAATTCTTCTTAATTAAATAGCAGGTTTCCTTTAAGAATACTGCTTCTTCACAGAAAAGTAAGTTAGATTAGCAAAGATTAAAACAGTTGCTGAATTTGAGGGCGGATAAGCCAGCAGTAGGTATGATGATTATCAGCATAATTGAAGTATGTTTTCGGTGTGAGTCAGATACGCAGCTGCTGGCATACAGAAAGATAAGCTTTTAATTAAAGCCTCGCATGCAGTCCTGTGACTTAACTTGCACAACCGAAGAAATCACATTCTGCGTACTAATCCGGTGGTGATTAACGGAGCCAGATTTGGCACCAAGCAGATTGTGCGACTAGGGGAGGTTTATAGTTTAAGCCATTGCTACAATGCGGGGAAATGATGCGCCGGCGACGTGATCAGTTGAGCGGAACAAAGAAAACTCACTGAGAAGGAAGCGGAATAGGTAAAACCTTTAAAATGAGTAGTCCACTCATTACCAAAAACAGGTGATTATGCCCAAAAATGAGATATCCCGTCTGGTGCAGACTGCAATCACTAAAGTTTAGATAGTTTGATGGAGGTAGCCGACTACTACACACCTCCACGTGGCCTGGAGTAAGACGGCGAAATTAGTCGGTAGAAACCATGAAACGGAGGAAGTGTTGTTTGATTGACTAAGCCTATTTACCTTCCAAGAACTGGCTGTCTCGCAAACAGGGACAGTAGGCAGCGGTTTATAGACCGACGGTCTTAGAGTGTGACAGACTGACGTACCATCGTATTCCCGTAGCATCAGAGCTTGGTGCGTGGCGTAAAAAATGCAGTAGAGCAGAACCGAGAGTGAGGGTTCGCCACCCACTCCCTTTTCGCCATAACGAAAATTTGTGGGACACTGAGATGAATCCGCCAAAAGGAAATCGTTCATGGAAGAGCCTCGAACCACACCAAGAGAAACAGCGGACGCTGTGGACTGGAGGCAACTGAGGGCGGACCAACCTAAGCAGGATTCCACTCTGCTGAACAAATCAGAAACCGACCAGTCCTTTGGACCCCAGGCTGACTCTGGCAAGCAAAGTGCACCATCTGGAGGCCAGCAAGGTAATGTTTTTCCAGTGACAGCCTAAAGAATGGGAGAAAAAGGCGATCCATAAGGAAAAAACCGAGATCCAAAAGCCTAACGTCTTGTTCCGGATAACGGTAGCATAAGAGGAAGCCAACGTTTTATGTAAGAATACGTAGGGATTGCAGTAGACATGCAAATGGGTACCCACATTTATTTGAACTATCTGCAACCCCAATGCTTACAGAAGGTCAAATAAGCGTGTGGCGATGCGTACACACAGGTGGATTCAACAGTTCTTGTTGCCATTATCCTCGTCGGTGGACAAATGTTAAACATGAAGTCACTTACCGGAAGGAGAAACAAGCGGGGAATAAGTGCAACTGAGTGCAAATAATTACGAAATCAATCGTGGAGAGCAATGGTGCACGTAAGTAACACCTATCATTTATAGATAAGCACGCTGTTTATCATGCAGCGCGGGAGAGTATTCAGAATAAATCAACTCTAGACGTAGTTCGTCGTGGTCCCTAGTAATCATCAATAACCAAAAATCCGTCCGACTAGTTTTTAAGTGCTTGGTCGTACACAGTCAGTATACGGAAAGTCGTGGCTCTGGGGCCAACCACTTTCCTCTGTACAGTTCGTGACTGGCATGGCAATGAAGGATGAGCCGCGCTATATCTTAGTAAACTGTCAGTCATACGGTCACGCCGTCCTCACCCATGACTTAGTGGCAAGGCCGCTGGCATCCGCAAGTCATGGGGTCGGAATCCGGCAGGGGACCGAGGGACTGCGGCGAACTACGGCTAAAATTACACCAAAATCCCAACAACTTATCATAAATCAATTCAGTAAGGGTAGAAGCTCTAAGGATGCGCTGTCGTGGTACTAGTGGATGTTAAAGGGGGAGGAAACTGATACATTCCTTAGGAATCCATTCCATGATAAACGATCGACGCCGCGAAGATAATGCCCAGACATTAATATGATCTATCACGACGAATTCCAAAACGGGGAGAGCACTGTCAAAAGCCATGAATAAGTGCTGCGTTGCGTACTAAACGGACAACTTAAAATAAATAAGAAATTAACCTAAGCTGCAAAGAACTAACTGTTTATGCGATGCATAGTGAAAACAAGTCGGGGCGCAAAATCGTTTGAACATACAGACCAACGAGAATTCCACATCCACAGTGACGAGGTTGGAAAACAGGACATAAAGACAATAAGAAAATGCAGTGAGTCCAGATGGTAAATGCACGGAAACACGGTAGACAATTGAACAATACGTCTGGCTTTCATAAATGGTGTGCGATCTAACTCACAGTAGACTTACTAGTGTATTGGCCCTGGGCCCAGTATGGAGTAAGCCACGCAAACTGGAATCGACGCGAGCTTCAACCATCGCGCGACAATGAGCCCAAGTGATGTCTGTCCAGGAAGCTGGCAGCAAACTGGTCAACACATGTAGATTTCCGGACAGAGCTGCGTATATGGCACGTTCATGTGAGGAGAGGCTAGTCTAGGAGTAAGAATAGTTCGGGGACCTTGGTGTATTCGATGAGGCGTCAGTAGAGTAAAATGACGCGGTAGTATGGGTCGATTCAGTGCAAGTTGAAGCAGGTGAGAACAGGGAATATACTGATCCTGAACTTGAGGATTAACACACATACAAATAAACTTAGCAACGTAGCATCAGAGTTTGCGACAACACAACAATAGTGCAGAAAGATCGGGTGGGCGTAACTAAATCACTTGAATCCATAAGACAATGAAGTGCAGTGAACATTGGCTAGTATGCCTCAATGAGTGGAACAATGCAGCTGTCTGGGTGGGATTTTCGTGACAAGATGAGAAAGTTTGTAGAACATCGGGCGAGTCGGTGCCTGATTCACAGTTGTAAATATGTCACCATTCGGAGCAAATGAGCTTGAGAACAGAGGAATTTGGACATAAGCTAAGGACTTGGAGCATTTATAAACTGTGGTAAACTCTTACTAGTAAATAAATCAACAAAACAATAAACGGTATATTCATGCACAGTGTAAGGCACAGTCTAATTGAATAGTCGGATCAATTTAAATGGTTAGATAAGAAAAGGACATAAGCAGGCAGAGTGATCGAGCGTTCTCTTTTGGTGAGAACCCGTAAAACCTCTTAGGGTAGTGTGCAACCAGTACAGTAAGCCAGTGAAGAGAATGAAATGCGTCACAACGCAAAATATAAGAAGACAGTGTCAAAAGTGACAATTGTTTTAAGTGAACAACAGAGCAGCATATAAAGCCGAAAGCTTCGAATAAAAAGCAAAATTTAAATGTGGTTTCAATGCTCGAGAAAAGACTTACGTTCTCAGCATTGCACCAGCACACGGACTTGAAGAGTATTCTGTTTGTATTACCCATAATTTCGTCTGTAACACCGGTCGCTCTGTTCCTGTTAATTTTCGTGATGAGGGTTGACTCAGATCGATCGGCAACATCCATACTATGTGTATCCATTTGATCAAAAGATCGGTCTGACTGCGAAGAGACAACGAAACCCGAATAGTGGAAAGGGCGCCAACCCTCAAAGGAGACCGCACGCCAGAATTCACCGCGTTGCATGCATAAGCGTTGAGCCTGATTAAAAAAGCCAAAGACGCATTCGGAGAAATAGGATACCAATCATGCAAAACTAAGGAAAACTGGAGTGTTTGACGAAGGCGGAAATATTCTTCTCACTGACAGATAGTGCAAAAACATTGAGATATAAAGCAAAGTAAAGTAATATACGCAAAACCTCATATAAAGTTGGATTAGCTAGCTCAGCGATGCAGTTTAGTTGCAGCTGTTAGGAACCGCGTTTCATCCGCACTGACTCTTCACAGGGCGACTTAGGGACACTGAAATGATTTCTATGAGCTTAGCCTTCGTTAATTGGCACATATAAAAAGAAACCAAAATGACTGTCAACAAATAACCTGATTATAATCAAGAAAGAAAGAGAAGAAAGGTATCAACAGTAGGTCGATAAGCAGTACCGACGTTTCGCCACCGCGTAACCACCACTAGTAGCATGTGGGCTAAAAATCCAAATCCAAACTTTCAAAATCAATGTCTCATATGATTGTCATTTCATCATTTTCTGCAGCATATAAAAATAAATAAAATCTAAAACCTCAGGAGAATATGGGTTAAGTTGCTGAGAAAGTGAACAGTGGAGTTCATCGTCTCCATATCAACGGGTACAGTCTGTGGACGGCCAAGCAATTAAGAGGATGTTGCAGAGATCTAACTTTTAGCTATGCAACAAACAGACCGCATCTAGAGAAACCAGCAGTAAATATGATCTGTTGCAAGCGTAATCAATGCTGGTCTAAGTACCGAAGATGGAGATTGTCAAGCTTGCGTTGATACTCCATGAGGTTGCTTAATCTTAGGTGAGCCACCGAAACATACGTAAACCGTCGCACGTATTAGCGCTAGATCAGATACAACGCGCTGACTAATGGGATATGCAGTGCCGAATACTGACACGCAACCGGTGGTTGGTAGCGCTGTGGTTAATCTGCAACAATTGCTGGGATGATAGTGCACAACATGTAGCGTTATGGCGTCCGGGGAGACGGGAGTTCGTGCTGGAGAAGCAAAGTTGGTGGTCGGTACACAAACTGAGCAGTCATTTTCCATCATCTGAGCGAATGTCATCATATCTATGCGGACCTTCGAGATTGTGTTTTCGTGGTAACAAACGGGTGAAGTGCGAGTTAAAACTCCACACGATAATAATTATATCCGTTTTGGGAGCGCTTAAAAACAGATCTAAGGTTTTGATAAAACTGGTCCTTGACTGCATCCGGAATACAATCAATGCGATCATAGGAGCAGATAACAAAAACAGTACGTTTGTCTTTGCTACACCTGTTGTGCTTGCATGAGTTATGGGGCCTCATAGCGCAGAGACAAATTTTGAGTGGGGCGATCCCAACAAGGGCTTGCCCAGATGTGGTAGACCCGTTGTCACCAGAAAGAGGAAGATTAAAATGGGTGTATGGGTGAATTAACGACGAAAAATGGTAGAATGCGTTGGGATTTTAAAGATGTCCCGGACAAGCAGCAGACATTTGTTGTAAGAGTTGTTAAGGTGCGTGCAAGACCGACGGGTTATCCAATCTGCATAAGGGTGTGTGCATTAAACATTGCAATAATGAACTATGCATAGGTCATAGAAGCGGAGAGGGGAGAGTGAAACTGGCTAATCGCGGTTACATGTCGTGTGATTGAGTAAGAGGAGAGGGAGGCGAGATTTTCATCAGAGGCGGCAATAACGGGGATGGAGGATACGGGGCGAGAGTAGACAAATGGATGGCGTGTGATTAAAGAGTTACCATAGTGGTAGCAGTAGAGCAAATTACCAATAGAGCCAAAAAGTGCAGCTCAGATCCATGGTTCATCTGTAGGCGAGGTTACTTAGGCCGAAGTAGGTTGTCTAAGGGGACCGCCAAACCGAGTCTCTGGCCAAGAGGCCTAGCGTACAAGGCAGCAGGGGGAGATGATGGACTAGTTCCTGCTCGGAGCCGGTGAGTGCTCAAGAGAATCATATGCTTTTTTGAATAGCTATAAGCCACACAAGGGGTCCAACTATCTTGCTGGAAATGACCTGATTTAGTGGTCATATCCGCAACACATCAAGGTGTTTTCATACGGCTTATGCGACTTTTATAGAGAGAATACTTGTCAGGCGAAAACCCACCAGAGTAGCCAGCATCGCCGCTTGTCACATAGTTAATACCAACAGTAAGTTAACAGCGTAAGCCTTGATACCTCTGTTATCATATGGAATCTCAGGCTGCTCGTCAGCATTACGATGTTCATTTAGTAATGGCATGTGCTTGCATGCGTGTGTGTGTGTGTGTGTGTGGACTAATTAGGCGACAGATAACCAAGAACGCAGTTGTTCAACTAGATACTCCTTTCACAGATTCCAAGATATACGGCTGATTCACCACCAGTACCATAACGTACCCATGAGATTTCTGTTCGGTTGAGTGAGTGTAGCACTTTCTGTAATTTGCTCAGACTCGTAATCTGTTTATCGAAATAAACTACGACAGAGACGTTGCGAAAATGTCTTTGCTAGATTGTTTAGCCGAAAGAAAAGCCAGTTATCACTGGGAATTTTAAAAAGTTCGCCACCGTTTGAGGATAGTCGTGAAACACAGTATGATTGTCAAAAAACCTACGTTTGCTTGGTAAAGTAACAATCAAGGAGTTCGGACTGAACAGAAAGTCAAAGTCCCATCTCAGTCAGCGCATCTACAAAAACGTTGGTCCTTTGGAGTTCGATCAATTAAAAGGAAGGAAGGATAAATGAATATCTCTTGGATGACAAATACTTCGATGAAACAAGGAAAAACGACAAATCATAATGTACGCCAGCTGTGATTAACCGTACCACAGTATAATGGATTCAGTGGGGTGGGAAATGTCGAATAAAATGTCAGGAGGAAAGTGTGACTCAAAGAACATCTAAAGCGCAAGTTAGAAACACAGGAGACGTATAAGGAATCTGCAAATGACGAAGAAGTCACCAGGGCCCTAATTCGAAAACCACGCAGTTTCTAACTCCAACCAATGACTCAAAAGCTTCGTGTCTCAACCCCATGTCACCGGTATTCAGACTTGACCATAACGTGGAGCCAAACTCTTGATATGCTATGATTCATTGCCTGTTCCGAGTGAAACAATAAAGTCACTCATGGTAGATTGAGAAGCTCAATGTTGCCAGCACTCAAGCCGAATTGTTGGTAGGGATTAATGGTCCGTTTAGCTACAAAACACTGGGAGAGTTTATAAAATCAGCCTGGTTGGCATAAAGAGGGAGCGCCGCAAGTTGCCATTGAATGCGGAGGTTCCGTTCGGGTTTGTGATGGCAATCATGAGTTTAGTAAGCTCATTATGACTCTGGTGGTCACATCCATGGGCCCAGATGGTTTGCGAAGTAACTACTAATTATGGTCGAAAATGTGGAAGGCCATGCATAAACATTGGGGAGTCGCAGCCAAAGGGTGTGAATGACTTCAAACGCCGTTCCTTTTATCTTGCTCTTTGTTGCAAATTGAGTTTATACCAGCACACAAGGTGACAGGACGCAAATCGAGACAAAACTTCGACTGAAGTTGAAGCCGGAATAGGATAACCCGGGCTGAGTTGAGCGCGAAACGCATGATCGAGCGTGGTAAATTTAAGTAACTGCAGAAAAGCGGCAACTTACACGTTGCATATCCCCGCCACGAATGCACAAAAACAGATAGTGCAAATATCGATCGTTGCGGGCTTGGTCTTCAGAGTCCAGCTGAGTACCGGTACAAGAAGTAGCGTCTGGATGCTGAAAGGAGAATGAGAGGTAATTGGCATGAAGGAAAGTGGCAGTCCCATATACGAAACAATGGAAGACGAAATTTGCAACACATCTGGAGTTTAGGAGATCAAAAAGTGAGCATATTGAATCGTGACTGTAGAGTAATTTTCCAGACAGAATGAGCGCATACGATTAATGACATCACGTCCAAGCCATCGCACCACATACAACATAGAGGAATGAGGAGGAAGAGTACCCTGACTACTTGCTAAAATAGAGGACAGGTGCCTATTCTCAAACTGGGCGCAAGTAATTGCGAATAGATTGATCATATTATTATTATACACGTCAGCTAAAGGTGGGAAACGCGTCACTTCGAATAGGAGATGCCAACGGTCGTTGTATGTGTGTGGCGACGGCAGACACAAAGTGTTTGCTAGTTGAAGTGGCCTAATAATTCCATGGACTATGTGACAATAACGCAGGATCATAAACAACACAAAGAGGTGAAAAAAACATGACAGTCAGCTGAAAAATACCCGGCATAACGAGGTTTTTTCCTTGATCGCTGATCGTTTCAGCATATATGAACCAATGGGAGTGAAGCAAATACAAGAGGTTAAGTACACTCGGTCGGTGACTCAGCAAGTCCATCGTATCCTGAAGATGAGCATTTCGATGAAAAGATGAAATCAGTTTTGTCCACCGACTTCATGAAAGATTCTCTCAACTCTGAGCTTCCGCACACACATGAGTACAGCATGCTGCTGGCGAAAGTGTGAATAGGATGGCTTTGCAAAATAATCTAACCAAACAAAGAAGTGTAGAAGAGGCTCGTGAAAGTTGAGTCAAGAAATCAATAAAAGGAGTGTAGGATGACCAATGTGTAGAAACACTAAGGAGTTAGGTCAAAGCATCAAATGAGAAGCAATAAAAAGCGGACGGATAATTCACCAGGTGCGGAGGTAGGTTTTTGGCTTTCAACCCCGATGGAGGCAGGTACGAGAGAGCATGGGCTGTGTTCTCCCTAAAACAAAGAAAAAAGTGCAAAGGAAAATGGAGTGGCTACAGCAAGGTATAAGCAAAGGTGCTGAACAAAGAAACAGTATAACTAAATGGGCTGTAATGGCGGGGAAGTAAGATAGGATGCGGTAATATGGTACGCGATGAAAACTTCATTCAGTGTAGTTTATGGTCCAAAGACCAGAACAAAGATGTATGATAGCCAATTCTGAGACAACAAAGGCAGAGAGGAAGAAATATACAATCAGAGGTTATTCATTATAGTCTATCCTCAGTCAGCAGACGTCGGCAAGTCTGGGAAAGTACCAGGCAGGTCCATTTCGACCTTTTGGGTCTCGTCAGTCTTGCGCCTTCCATCGGACCCCTGCCGGGTTCCGCCCCCATGACGTTCAGATGCCAGCAGCTAGTGCCACTTAGCCATGGATGACGGCCGCGGACCAGCATGATTGACAGTTTACCATGATATAGCCCGGCTCATCTTCCACTGCCATGCAGAGGACATTGCGGAGGACAGCAGCCAGTCCCACGAGCTGGGACTTCCGCATAGCGACTGTGTACCACACAGCACTTAGAAGCTATAGGGGCGGCTTTATTTTAGCATACTAACGAATAGTGAAGATTGAAGACAAAATAAAAGCGTAGCAATTTCCCGAAACAACACAAATGCATAATAATCAAGAGACAGATTCACAGAAAAGTACGTACCAGGTGGAGGACTCGTTAAACAGACATTCGTATTTTTCAGCAACTTCCTCTATGTGTTCTCGCACGCGGCGTTCTAACCAATCGATAAGCATCTGTTTTAGTGATAAAAATGAAAGGATGTCAAGTGGAATCCAACAAGATCATCAGTTGCAGTAGGTGCAACTGAATGACAGACTACGTTTGATGCAAACTTGAACCGAAAATCCGTTTCATTACCTCATGTTCCTGCTGACAACACAGGCAACAAAATGTGACGGCTGCGTTTTTTGGTCCGGCCAGTTCCCAAAATCAACAACAAACCCGAATAACGCCCAGGCAGAAATAGTAAACCGTTGCAATAAGATTGCCCTGATTATAATGTCGAATGCTTCCTTGCTAGTGTAAATTGCTTGAGTCCGTCATTCGTAGCGTCAGCCGGGTCTGAACGTATTGTATTCTTAATGGATTCTGGCGAACGTGCACCAATTTAGTTGGCTACATGACGACCGGCTTCAAAGGTCTTTGTCCAATATTGAAGGGGAGGCACATTTATGAAACGATTTTTATGAGCCATTACCTTTGACACATCTCCCTCTTTAAATTCGGGGCTCGCCAACGGCGGGGCCTGTACTATCCTTAATCGATGAGGGAAAGCGGAATCGCAGTCCCGAGGCAGCTGATATCATCGACAAAGTCCGCTTAATCCGACGTACCGATTCACAAGAACAGTAAACAGCAGATGTAATGGTGATGTGTAATCATGATGACCAGTTTGAAAACATGAGAGATGAAGGTCTCATCCGTTTCCGAATTTGTTTGTTACTATAAGTGCGAACGGATATAAGATGCCCGCATCTGCAGCGATGAATGTCACGAGTGGCTTGCGCTGAAGTATTAGCAGCCTTGCTAAAATACACCACATGGCTAGTCTAAATCCCAAAAAATTAGACCACAAAGCGGGAGACTGAGACCAACGAATCTTACTTGGAGTCGATCCACATGTTACTGTGATTAATCTAGTTCGCCAGAGGTTAGTATATGAATACGATAGATTCCGGACGCTAGATAAGTGATGGGATGAAGAGTGAGAGTATATGCCTGCTCTGTGGGCATTCGACAAACGATGCCCATTAGTCACTCAAGCACCGTTAGGATGCGAAACTGGTGTAACTATCGCACTAAAGCCAAGTTCTAGAAAACACCAACATGAGCGAGGTTGGGTGTCCTCTGTTAGTCATCAATAGGTAGAGTCGATACGTGTCCCCACAGATCCCTACTCATCAGAAATGATTACAAAATTGACCAAATGGATCACTGAAGACAATCGTGAACTGAGAAACGGAAGAAATCACGAACTTGAGTTTCTCGTAATTTGCTGTCACGCTCATACAGTAACTTGACAATCTCTCGTTCTGAATGCCGAACGGCCTAAAATTAAGTGTAAAGGAAAAAGAAGATAGAATAACGTGGAAACAAGTGAAGGATTACAGTGAGTTGGCCAAGTTCGATAAACCTCAACACTCAAACGAAAAATACTCTGGTCCCAAATGTGACACGCAGACATAATAAGCCAGCATAACAATCATGAGAACTACACGGGAACGAGATGAACCCGGGGGTCAGGTGTACTAATCAAATAACTCAAGTTGTCCACCTCGAGTAGAGTAAACAACGTGTAAACCAGTGACGCAATCGTCGCCAGATTGTCAAGTCAAGATTCAAGAAAGCGGAATGAGCATCATGGCACTCCGCTCACTGGAACCTGTCTCAAACTGACCGATGCCTCAGAGATCCATTCACAGTTACGACGTCTTAAGTTCAGCGCACATTAGGCGTCCGAGGCATTCTTTATGCCACATTTAAGACGGTCTCAGTCAGCGTTCCGCTGACCAACCTCATTCCTCATTGACAACTGGTGGACCAATTCGTTATGATGTTGTTGAACTGCAGACTGTGGATTCAAGTTACTAGTAAAAGGTTATAAGAAAGGCGTTTCTTTGAAGCGGGAAGAGTGAGTGTCAGTGGTGCGCGCACTAGGGTATGGTCAGAATCTAGGCACATACTCCGAATGGACTGGCAGTCTTGGACTGATGCGAGCCATCTGTACCTGACGGCAATATGGTCAATTTGTGTCCACGTGATTGGAGTATTGGGTAGGCGCCAGGTGACGTGGTATGAACGAATGTGCAGGAAAGTAGTGCTGCATATGTAAAGGTTGTGTACGGCACACAGTTGCAAGAATCCATCATCATTGTCTGTTCGGTAGGCATCGACTACGAAGCGGCCTCAAATGTTAGTAGTCTGAAAGATGATCCACTTGAGCATTAATGTCACCAGTAACAAGCATGATGTCAGTATTCGCCATGCAAAGAGAGGACAGTTGTTGATAGAAATCGCCTTTGATACTCTCTGAATTACATTCAGTAAGGGCATAAACTGAGGTGATAAAAAGATACCTTGTCTTCAGACGTTGCATATTAATTCCAACAGAGGTACGAACTTGAACCGCACACATGCGACGGTTCACCGGTATCCTGTCGATCAGACTGCCTTCAGCATGTTTGCTGAGGGCAATACCCACACCGTAAATACCTTGAGCTATTAACTCAGTATCGTAAGAGACGCGAAGAAAGTAACAATCATCATCAGATTCGGAACCAGCGAGTCGAAGTTTCGTCATGACGCTGTTATCTTCCATGCGTGTTTCGGAGACACAGCACACATTAATACGAAAAGAGATAAGGGTGAGTCAGTGCTGCCTGCTGGCCTATCTGACCTTGAGTGCGGACGTTAAAACAGCCGATGTGAAATGAAACTCTAGGTTTGGTAGAAGAGCTACAGGTATCGATGACAGCAGCAGCCCAATGAATCAGGACTATTCAAGGAATGGTGTATTTTGATCAATCTGACAAAGCCAGGGAATCAACGTCGACCAAGACGCTAAGGATATAAATCATGAATGAAAACAAAAGGTGGCCACATTGTTGAACAACTTCGAGGTACGGATGACACAGGTGCGGCGTGAAGATATGAGCTCAATGATGCTCCAGAATGAGTTTACTGAAAGAATAATAAACGTTCCCTTACCGTGTAGTCGCTGTGTGCTTGCTTGTTTCCCAAGAGAGTTATTCGTTCATCAGCAGATGGACCCTCAGTAGCGGAATCTAAGCGATCGATGTATAACGCAGACACCAAAGACCATGTATCTTTCTCCAAATTAAGCAACTCTACCAGGTTCTTGAAATCTGGTAAGCTAACAAATTAGGTAGTTAAAATGTTAGAACCAACCCCTCACGGCAGAGCGCATGCACGGATAGCTTAGGTAATGCCCGGGCAGCAGTGGTACATAGATAACAGTACCGAAGAGGAAGTTCAAGCGGGGAAGTCCAGGCTCCACGCCATGTTTCGTGGAACTGATCAAACAAACCAGATCCATCTATATGAAAGTAAACCGGCCGCCAAAGTCAAAGAAGTACCCAACAAAGCGGGATCTTCATCCAATAGCAAGGTAAGATTAGTAGATAAATCGACCCTTCGATCAATCTGAAACAAGCTCAAGATGATCATGGTAACAAAACCTACCTCAGGTAATCCACCTGTCAAGAAAGAATCTGAAAGAACCATGGGAAGCTGAAACGAAACAGAAGGGGCATTGGTTAGAGCGATCTGGTAGTGAGCTGCGACAGTCAACAATGCGCAGAAAGCCAGGGCATTTTCCAAGTTGGTGATGAAATTTCAATGAATATACATCCGAATATTCAATGCAAAGATGTAATGTTGGACATGCTCAATGAAACAGGAGTTACAGACAACTAAGAAGAGGACTCGAGGATAGACTAAGAACATCTAGGCTGACAGCTCCCCAGAGGAAAGAAACGGAGGAAGGCAAAAAACAGAAACATGATTCTGAGGGCCATCTTACGCTTTATAAGGTCAGGTGATAAACTCTCAGAAAGTTATGGGTGTTTACCTACACTCTTAAAGTAGTAGTCCACAACGCGCTTCGAACTTGCTTGATCTCGTAAGGTATAGCAAGCATCGAAGCCGGGGCCGTTGGGATGTTAGCCGAAACCACTACCCCAGCTGCTTGAAGTTGTGACACCACTCCGTTAAATAACAACTGTGGAACCGGGATCCACTCGACGCAAGTAGGGTCAAAATGAGACATCAGTAAAACCAATTCGATGGCTAGCATGTCCCACGTTGCTCAAAGCATAGGATTTCATAGTTTTTAACCTAATTTTGGCAGTCAACTTGTTTCTTTTCGAGTGCTACCTCGAGTGATATGTCTGGGTCCGACGCCTGTGACTCCTACCAAAACTGTACTCAGCAATTTGTAGGTCTCCGAGTGGTACACGTTGTGTAGTACAAGACAGGCAATCCCCGTGAACAATAATCGGAATCCACAAGTGTCTACACTAGCGTGTCCTGCGTCAGGCCAGTGTCGGCAAACAAAGTTGGATACTTGCAGTTGCTTTTATCAACGAGAAGTTGCTATGTCGAGTCCTTGATGAGCTGCACCCAGCGTAGTGGTGGACTATCCGTCCGCACCAAAAGTTTCTAAGCAAGTAAAGTCAAACCTGTTGCAGAAAAAATACTAAGGACCGCATTTTATTTCTGGCTCTTTCCTCTAAATCAGCGTCTAACTGTTGTAAGGTACCAGTTCCCTCCATCCAGTTCTTGCTGCAACAGAACGGCTACAACATCACGGTCGCGGGCAACCGAGCGCCATAGCGGATGGTAATAGATCATGGAAGCCTAAGACAGGTGTAGATGCAATCTCACAGTCGATCAAAGGTCTCTTGGCATGCAAAATTCTATACAACGTGACCTTTATGTAACGAAGGGCTTAGGTGGGTACCGACCTCCGAGAAATATTTATTGAATCGCCGGTAGTGAGGCCAACCAGAATGAAAGAACGCAACTGTGAAACGTTAGTAGGGTTTGGCCTTGATTTCCCTTGTTCCGTCCTACATCGACCTGTCCGAAAGCTCGTCCCAAAGATGATGTGTGCGACAGACGTCATGTTATTGCGTAGCGAGCGGGGAACATAGTTAGTGGAAGTTTGAGACCTACGCTGATTAAGCACATCAGTCGGATTGTTTAAATGTTCACTCAAATAAAAAACATGTGGGGTGAGCAGTACGTAAAAAATTTTGTTTGGAATGTCCCAGGAGCGTTTGACAGTTTAAAAGCACGTTCCGAGATCCACAAACGTAAGCTGATAATAAAAAGCTTTTACGCTGGTCACTCTATAATCTCTACTTGCCAGCAACCGGAAGCCAGATCCAGCTTGCTAAGATAATATGACACGCTAACCATGACAAACAGGTCAGCGATTCTGAGAAAGTGAAACGCGTCCTTCCGCGTGGCTTCATTTAATCGTCTACAGTTAACACATAAATCATAAGCACTTCTTTTTCCTTAAAGAAAAACGACCGGAAATATCCATGCATAAGTAGATGAGGGAAATACTTACCAATCCAGCATGTCAGCTATTAGCTTCTGTAGCTCCGCTGATAATGTAATGTGATTCTGCTTTGAAGGTCTTACTAGGACTGGGACTTAAGTATCTACTAGCTGTTTCAAGAGGCTGGTTCAGCCGATGTTTCCAGCTGGTTAGGCGAATGTGTCTGAATGATCTTGCAATATGACTTTAAGCTATTCAAGCATTCGCTTATCGGTGGACAGATCAACTGAACGCACGGAAACGTCCACACATCCTTCTTACCGAGTTGTCCTCATAAACTGCAAGGACCGCCAAAGCATCACTTTCCAAAGGTATGAGTAGTACAGCGCAGATGTTTGTGGCCGGCTGGAACCATCACAATGGGGCTGGACGTTATCGTGGTGATACGGTTCGTGTGTCTTAGCGATCCTTCGAGCCATGTTGGGTGGAGCAACTTGCAACTTATGTCACTCATGCCATATTGGTAAAATAGAGACCAGACAAACTCGAACTCCTGGTCCTCCAGGTTGGGGGAAGGGATGAGGGTGCTTCTTATTCCTTAAAACGGACTCTTTGTAGCCCAATGCCAAATCCGCTGCCTTGTGGTCGGGTTTTAAACTAAATACTATGGTTGAGAACCCTAATGGTTCTCCTGTCTAGGCCTGGGCAACCTAACAGCATCCCATATACGCAATACAATGAGCTATACAAACAATTTCGTGGTGCTCTGACCGTCGAAGAACACAATCAACGGTGCTCTATCTGCTGCATCGAGCGGGGTGGATAGGGATTTGGATGCTACTGTTCAAGTCTTTCCGCTTTAACACTCCTCCTCTTACGCAATCTCACAAATATCGCCCCGTTCCAACATCACATTTATCCACCCGTTTTCAACATCGAATTCTTGATGCCAACACACTTGGCTTTGATAGGCGTTTATCTCCTAGTTTCAATCCACACTCAAAGTCTTGCTCTGGCGCCAAGCCCATGTCTGGCCATGCGGACAACCTCAGTTCATCCGCTTCTATTTGGAGTCCTCGATCATCCCTACTATTAGTATGCCTCAGCATACGCACATTGTAACAGATCGGTCAACAGACAGCCCATTAGAGACCGCTCGATCGATATACGCCGCTTAGCAAACACCCGCCTGCAACATTGGGCTTCTGTGCTCAATTAGTAGTCCCCTGCGAGTGACACTAACAGTTTTTCACTGCATCTATAAAGAGATTACGCAGCTTCGAATGACAGTCAAGCCGTTTTGGGTGTTGCTATGGGTCCTCGGGATGAAACTGCAATTGATGACTGGATCCCAATCAGTAGCAAGATGTGTGCCATTCGACTGGCCGGCTCGTTCGAAGCATCGAAATCATGCAGGGCCAATGATCCGTTGTTTGTCGTCGCTGCCTACGCATCCAAAATCCGTAGCACTGACACGGTGAAAGATAACTTGCATCGTCACCTTAATTAGTATTTCCGTCACAGATGAAGCATGGACACTGTAGTGCTGACTGGTGATCTGAACGTTCAAGTCGAAAAATAACTGCACCTGGACAACCAACACGGTGTGGGCTCACCTAATGATCACTTAATTCATTTTTGTTACGATGCTCGCCTATTTCTCGTGAGCACTAACTTCAGACACAGCAGCCGCAGAAGGGCAACATGGATATGAATCGATCACATCGCGATCAGTTACCGCTGGAGAAGTTGCGTCCAGTTGTGGACACTGACCGTGTGCTGATCTGCGGGTGCGTATTGGTGGACGCCCGCGACGACGCAGTGAGACTATAGGCATCCGCATACTGTCAAAGCTAGATGTTCTGAATGCGCATCAAATTACGCTGGCATGTTCACCAAACCTTATTAGCAGCAGGTATGTCTTCATGTAGTGAATCAAACTATCAAAATGGACATTGAATCTCACTGGAACTGCTGGAATCTCACCGACACATTCCGGTTAGGAGCGAACACAACGAGATTCGCAAAAAATCACAGGACATACCCAGTGCTCGAATTAATGGCGGCGGCGAAGACTGGTGGTCTCATTGTGAGTCGGAAATGGAAGTGGCCCCTGCCCTTGGTAACCATCGGAAGTAATACCGTCTCATAAGGATAACCAGCAGCAGACTTCCGTCGCAATGAGATTGGACCTTAACGTGGTGCGATGGTTGGCGTACCCACTGAGCTAAGCTGGGTGGCACTTTCCAAGTGCCTTAAGATCCCCTCATCCAAAACAGCTCAATGCTTAGGGATCAGACTAACTCGGTCTCACAATCGTATCAATTCGGTGGTTAGAGGTCCATGGTCCTGTTCCAATAAAAGCTAGCTATGGGAGACAACAGATCCACGGGTTATAAGTTCACAGCTAGATTGGCGTAGAGCACGCGCGCCACTGTCTCTGACGGTGAGAAGACACTTTTCAGTGGTCAAGAATTTCCTATTGCCCACCATAAGTCAGTCAGCCCCTTGTCAAATTGGTGTAAACCCGCTAACTCCCACGTGCTGATGGCCGTGGTCGCAGTTTCGAAACGCAATACGCCTGTAAAATACGTCAACAGTGTAGTAAAGCTTCAAAGACTGTGTATGACAGACTTCAAGCAGATCCTAATGTGTCTCTGCAATCATAGTGCCTAGTTGGACTTGGTCCCCACTGCCTTGTGGTTCAAGCCATTGAGCCAAAAGCTCTGGGTGGAGTCCCCCCAAGCGAACCACAAAATCCCTCACTGCATTGTGGGTCTGGCTATCAAGCCACAGGCTCCGAGTCCATCAAGTGAACCTACATGTACCTCTGCCTTGTGGGTCAGACTATTGAGTCAAAGACCAGAGGCAGAGCGCCTCGAACAACACCCCTCTCTTGGAATGGACGGACAGAGTGTATCACAGGCCCACTCGACCACGTTGACAATGCTCCCTCTTCGTCCTCTTGTTTTGCTCTCACCTCTCCCCTCTCTTCTACCACGTCTATTGAGCAAGAGATTGCCGCTGACCTTGAAGCTGCTGCCATCGATATCTGTAGCTCTTCTACCAAACCTGGTTTGTTTCACATCGGCTTTCTTAACGCCGCACTCAAGGTAAGATAGGCTGGCAGGCAGCACTAACTCTAACGTTTCATTATCTTGGTATTAATGTGTGCTCTGTATCCGAAACACGCATACAAGATAACAGCGTCGTG